TTTTATTAAAAATTATTATAAAATTATATAATTAATATATAAAATATAAAAATAATCCTGTACAATCGCACGGTTACAAAAAAAAAAAACTAGTTACTAATAAAACTCTAAATGTAAATGAAAACAAAATAAAAATAGAAGTTAAGAGTAAAAGTAACCGGTTTGAAACCGGCTGCTGATTGGAACGTCAATCATATTGCCACACGTAACAACAGAGCAGCTAGTGCCCAAGAGAGTGCTGATTGGAGAGTGTCCGTAGCACTGCTCAAAAAAAATATATCAGAAGGACAATACCTAATACTCTGGGGACGGTCTATTATACTCTGGGGACAGTCTATCATATATTTCCCATCTACAGTGAAGCACAAAATTACTTCTAGTAGTTGTCTTGGTCCTTCTAGATAATCATTACGTAGGGAACAACGTAGTGCCGGAAGTCTTCCAAATTCTTCGTAGATCGTGTCACTAATGTTGATGCTCTTCACCAACCTGGTATTACTAGCAAGGATTTGATTCCTCTGGAGAATGTATTCAATCTTTTTGTTGTACGTTGTGCAGAGTTCAACCGCTCGATTGAAATATTCACGTTGGTTAAACAGGGAGCATATTCCGTGCTTTTGCCATTCCCTACACCAAAAACCAGCATTACCGCGATGACGCGAACAAACAGCAGAATAACGGTGAGGCACGTCAGGCAGCAAGTCGGGCCAGCATTTATTCAATTCGGCTCGAATTGAATGTACCTATATATTCAATCAAGAAAATAATTCATCAATGACAGGCATCTCTAGAAGAAAAAAATTTTTTTTCTAACTTTTTGTTTAAAATATAAGTTAAGAATTCAATAATTATAATATTTATAATTAATTTTATATAAAATTTAAATAAAATATAATATAAAATAAAATTAATGCATATTAATCATAATTTCTAAAAAAATTAAAATCATAACTTATTTTTATAATCTGAAATTTTAATTTAAAATTTAAAAATTTAGTCAATTTTTAAATTTAAATATCAATATTTAATAAAATAAATTTTTAAATTTTAATTAAATAAAAAATACAGTTTATTACCTTGTTTATGTGAAATGCGTCCTGTTGTCTACAGTATATCACATGTGCTCCGCTAAATTTACTTGGCCAGAGGCCATGAATTGTAAACTCTGGTTTGGCTAACTTTCTGCACTTCTGCCTGTGGTAGTTTGGGGTACTACAAACAGCAGGTTGCCATTGTACCACGTATTGCATATAGTCATATGGTTCTGAACCGCATACAGAAAACATTAAAGAAATAGTAAGAAAGCAGATCAAGATTGGCTGATTCAAAACCTTCAGAGATTCCATCTTTCTACCAGCTGGATTCAGAACCAATGTTGGCGCCATAGATGCCACCTGCCTCTCCTGTAACAGAGAAGGACTAAAATCCTGAAGACCCAAAAGCTCCGTAAACCCTAATGAACCACCACTCTTCTCCCCTTACCTCAAATCAAATACCTCTTAGTAAGATCTCAAGATATAATCAAGAAATGATGTAGATCCCATCACCTCCTCCATCTTTGTCTCTTTCTTTCCCTCCATAGATGGCTCAAAACCACAATTTCTTCATCAAAATCCAAACTGGATGCAAGAAAAAGAGAAAAGGTTAGTGCTTGTAGTAATGAGAGAGAAAGGGAGACAGAGAGAAATGAGGAGAGTATTTTGTGGTTAGAAGAGAGTGAGAATAACTTCAGTCTTCTGCTTTTATGTCAAATTGATTCCCAATGTAGCATTCAATAGTTAGTTCAATAATTTGTTGCAAGTGTTAGATCCTGAAACCCCAATTGATTTCTAATAAGTACTTCAAAAATCTAACCGAAACCTACTAGCTACCTCAAATGCTAACCTGTGCAACATAAAGAATAGCAATGAAAGTTAGTATAAAAATGCTTTAAAGAATGAAATTATAAACCTCAAAATAAGAACTAAATCTACAATTAATTCAGAACCAAAATAGCTGCAACCAAAATGAAAAAGCCATGATTTATATGAAGCCATGGTTTTTTTATCACAATTTGATACTTTGTTTTGCATGTTAAGCATCGGTGGTCAATGTCAATTCTTAAGAAAAAACAACAGCTCTTTCAACCTCCCTAATCTCTTCCTTATCAAGTTTATGCACCTGCCTCAAGAGCCATTAAATTAAAGATATCAAAATAATCCTATCTAATTGAATAAAATCAATAATTGAATTACCCGCCATCCCAAAATCATGTATTATGAAGTCACAAGTTAAATAGAGTTCATGGATTGAAAATATCAGCTAGAAAAATGTTTGATTGGACTCAAAAAAGAAATGCCTATTATGTATTATTAAATCCAAATAATATGAGCAATTTTCCATGGAAAGTATTGGGACTGGGTCAGGTTGTAATGATGTGGCAGTAATTCTAACTTGATATTAAGCCATTGTAGATTTGATGCTCAACTACTTCTGCGTAGACCCACCAATTGTATAAATAATATGAAAATTTATTTTCCTCACCAAGGAAACAAGAGAAAAGAGAAAAACACAACACTTTTTAAAATTTGAACAGATTATTTGTCACATTGTTGATGTTCCTACACAAAATGGCCCAATTGAGTTCGGTAGAAAAATAATAATAAGTACTGAAATCTGGTGCAAAATGTCACAGGAAAAGTATCACGAATTCAACTACAACTAACAGATAGAGGCCTAAAAATCCAGACATCATAAGAAAGAGAATACAACAATTAGATGAAAATACAAAAAGAAGTGAGATAGAGCAATCAACATAATAAAAAAGAAAAGAAAAGAAAAGAAAAAGCGAGATAGAGATTAAAGGGAATTGGGGGTAAGGGGAAGGGGAAATAGGGGTAAAGGGACTCGAAACCCCCCCAAGTGGTGTGGGTGGAAAACCCATACAGTGACCACACCACACACCAAGGTTCCAGAAGCACCTTTATATTACTTAAATCTCAACATTTAATCTTAATAATAAAATTTTACGGTCTACTCACAACACAGACAACAATTAAAATCGAATATCCTAGAACTCACTCATAGATTCATATAATAAAAAAATGGATCCAATAATTAACAAATACCTGAGAATCAGAATCTTTTTGATCTGGGGTTCCCCTTCCTCAGGTCCAGGAGGGACGATGGTGACTGAAGCCGGTGAAGACTGAGTAATCGGTGAAAAAAGAGCAAGGAAGTGTGTACCGGACCGCGGAGAAATAGGAAAAGGGCGTGGAGTGTCGCTACAGAAAAATCCTGCTAGGGTTCCTGCCGATTGAAAGAGAAGGAGGTTTGCTTGTGGCAGTAGGTGAGAGAGTAGGATGGGGTCTGCAAGTGAGAAAATAATTCTCCTCTCTCACCAGAAAAAGACTCCCCTGAATATAGCAGAAGTAGTATTTCAAACCATTCCATAAACACACCAACTAATTGTTTGTCTAAGTGGAAGGACATGATTACTGTTAGGTAACGTTTTGAGTTTGAGTTTTGTATGCAGCTGCTACACCAGACTTTGTGCAGACTTTGTGTTTAATTGGTGTGGCAGAAGTTTTAATGAAATGATCGCGGAAGTGTTATTTTTGTAAATAAAAAAAATAAAAATAAAATGTTAATTTTATTAAAATTTAGGTGAAAAATT